TGGGTTCGTGATCAAAAAGTCATCATCGGAGTTCTACCATTAGAGGCCTCCGCTTCACTCCGGACAATAAAGCAAATTTTCTCACAGTTTTACACAGTAATATAACAATGCATTAAAAATCTATTAATATAGTAATACAATGAAATATAATACTTTTTCACAACCTTTGCCTAACGTTAAAATCCGAATATTGCTTATCAATGCCTAGAATTTTTAATTTGACAAGAATTTTATTAAATTTGTCTAGACCGGTCGGGATCGGTCTTTTAAAAAGACCGAATGAGAAAATAGCAAATACAAGATTGGTTTATTAAGATTTGTTTATTGAAGAATAAATTTAACAAAAAAAAAAAAAAGATTAGTAAAAAAAAAAAAAGATTAGACAAAAAAAGAAAAAAAAGATAAATATAAATTTTATTGATGCCAAATTGCTTTTAAAATATTTGTGTGTATTTAAATTTAATTTTACGTAACCACGAATAAACTTTTAATATATATTATAATTGGGGGACACGATCAAAAAAAATAACCATCTGATATGGAAGATCTTTATGTAAATCAACAGGTGGTAGTAAACGTGGTATCCTCGTGTTTCAAAATTTATAATATGAAATGTATATGAAATGTAAACTACGTATTATTATTTATAACATGATTTATTTATTAACACTACTTATTTATAACACTATTTATTTATCATGCTATTTATTTATCATATTATTTATTTATCGTACTATTATTTATCATACGATTTATTTATTATTAAATATTACTACTACGTGTTTATTTTTTATTTATTGGCTTGCATATATCAAAATCAAAATGTCACTAATATTTTCAATTTGAATTTGTGATGCTTAGTGGTCTAAAATGTGATTTCATTTGATGTATAATTAATTCGTCGTATCTTTACTATATCTAAAGTCATAATTATTATAGTTATTGATAGTTATTGCGATAAATTAAAAATTTTTTTATTTGTTTCTTGGAACTAAATGAAATTCGAGTAATAATTGTTTGTTTCTGGCGTCAATTCCTTTACGTTTCAAAGGTTGCGTTTCAAAGGTTGAATAAACATATAACTATTTTTAGTTTTATAGAAACCAATAAAACGAACAAAACATCATAAATGTGGAAAAGATTCTTGCGGGTATATTTAGACGGATGATGATGATGATGATTAGTACGGTTTCTTGTGTGATAGAGACAATCTAATTTTTCTGATTATCGGGATTTACCTAGATAGTAGCATTATAGTATCCGTATAGTAATATAGTAATATAGTATGTATATAGTACATAGTAATATAGTATATAGTAAGTATAGTAATATAGTATATAGTAAATAGTATAGTAAATAGCATATGGTAAATAGTATATAGTAAATAGTATATAGTAAATAGTAAATAGTAATGTAAAGCAATTTTAAATTCTAAACTCACTTGTCCCTTTGATCTTTAATTGAAACACCAAGAAAAAATTTTTTTTTGGTCACCGAACGCTCTCTTACTAATTTGCAATTATTTTTAGTCGATCTATTATTATTTGTTTTATTTGTTTTTGGTAAATTGGCAAAAATAGCCATTTTGACTATATAGAACAAAGTTACTGGTTGTTGACTATTACCACGAAAACAAAGCAATCGACATGATTGGATGATTTTACATTAGATCGTTAGATTCTTTTGATAGCGTATTATTAAATGAAAAGCGTAATATTAAATGTGACGCATTCTTACGACCCTTGGTACATATTTACATGCATTTAATACTTCCATTTAATACTTTCTTTAGTCTAATGTTTTTTTTCATAATGCAGTAATGCACGAATGCATGTACACTTTTATTTTTGTAATGCACTTAATTTTGCTATATTAAAATATTAACGTTAAAAAAGTTTTTTTTTTTATTGAAATAAAGTAAAAACGTCATTATTATAAACTTTGATATGTACAGTACATACATAAGTACGTAGAAGGAAGGGTTCATCACAATAACGATAATTACAGTAATTTACTTTAAATATAAGCCATTCCTTTTTCTAATATCATGTAATACTATCATTATTATGGCAATTCATATTATGTAGTGTGGAAAAACAATGGCTGGAATGTTTATCATACGATTCTTCTTATTGTTAAATTATGGAAAACAAATTTCGGATATGATTTTAGTACTTACCTTAAAAGGAAAACATGATCCATAAAAATTGCTAAAATTATTGCAAAATTTGATGTAAAATGTTGTAAATTCGGTATTCATTAACAATACAAAAAGACGTTGGATTACTTTTTTTTTTGACTTATGCCAAAGAAAGCAAGAGATAAGTATATACTTTTGTAAATGTATAAGCATGCGCATGAGCAAATAAACAAATTGTTTTAAGAAGTATTAAATCTAAAATTTGAGGGATACATGAAATGACTGTGTTCATGAAAAGGAATCGATTTTTAGAATTTAATAGTTTCTAACCATATAGAGTGCTGTAATGAAGTGCTGTAATAGAGTACTGTAGTGAGATACTGTAATAAAGTACTGTAATAAAGTACTGTAATGAAATGTGTTGTAATACAGTAAATATTAGTTCGAGACCCAAGTTTATTAAGAAGTCTCTTTTTTGTTTAATACTATAATTGTATAATTATTTTCGATTCATGTGTAAATAACAATTTTATTGGTTCTATTGTACATAATTTCAAAAAATAAACCATAACCTTTTTAGGTGCTTTAACAAACTTTACCACTAATATTAAATGCGGTATTTTTGAATTTTCTCCGAATCTTGTTTGTTACAATTTTAATTTTAATATTTTTTAATTTATATTTATGGTTTAATATCTGATAATTAAAATTTGAAACTTACGCACTGTACGTACGTACGTATATGAACTTGCACATAGACATAGGCTAAGGAACTTATTGCTTATTCAAAAATGATTTCTTTTGATGTAATTTATACTTTTGTGTATCATGTACATTTTTTTAATAACAAAGGTTATTACAAATTTAAATCTTATTGCGAATACAAAACTCATCATACATGAAACTTTATTAAGTTTGGTAATCCTCGAGAAAATTCTCGGGTCACACACAAGCTTTATACACATACTGTACCCCTTAGTCTTATGACACTGATCGATATGATTTGATATGATTCGATATGATTTGATAGGACAGTAATTTATTATATTTATTATTATATACGCATTTAGCCACATAATTAAGCAAGGGATTTTTGACTCCTGACTTTTAATATTAAAGTTTGAATTTGGATATTCATTCATTAATTTAATTAATTTAGGGCGATTTTGACATTCAAGTCTAAATTTTAATTATTAACAAAGACCTTAAATGTTTAAATGTAAGACTTTAAATTTTATGTTAAAATTATGTTAAAAATTTAAAGCTTACCATACAAGTAATACAAGTCAATCTGCAAATTGGTAAAACATTAAGCCATTGGCGTTAATAATACCTTATAAAGCTAAATTAAGCAAGGATTTCATTTAATAACTATATGGATCCCCGAGATCCTACATACATCTAGCATATATAGCATATAATGATGAATATAATACTCACGTGCCTCGTACTTGTGACCCGTACGTCTTGCGCCTTATACTTATGTCTCATACTTATCGATGATCAAAATAAACGTGTTATATTAAAATTCCGCAAGGGGTTGTTTAACATTAAAAAATGCCATTTTTTCAACAAATTATATGAATTGTTATCATAAACTATTAAATCTTATTTTATTTATACACGGTTTATTAAATTTAAATTTTAATTTAAAAGACGCGCCTGCTTCTAATCAATTCGCACGCGTATTTACTTTGCTGGTTATATCTCTTTATATTATATTTACTGCATTTACCAAGGATGTTATTACCTTGCTTAGTGTAACATAGTTTTCAATTTGATTAGTGGCAACGAATAATTATTTCCAAGCAACTTTAAGCAAACCCGGTTTCATAAACAGTTTCTAAGCATTAAATTAAAAAAAAGCGTTGTGAATGAGTTTAATTAGTCACATATCGAAAGTAATCATGGTAATAATGAACAAATCTTACTAAGCAGATTTGAGCATTTTAAGCAGGATAACGTCCTTAGTATTTACTGGAATAATAAATTTCATTTTTAATAATAATTTCGGTTGTAACTTGGGATACACAAAAAAATTTGTTTGTATAAACTAATATGTCTTTTATCTTACAATCTAATCTTCACATTTTGTTTAATCCAATCTTTACGTTTGTTTAATCCAAACTTTACATTTGTTTAATCTAAACTTTACATTTGTTTAATCCAAACTTTACATTTGTTTAATCCAATCCTTACATTTATCTTTGCATTTATGTAATGAGAGCTATTCGCGTGTTCTCAACAATTATCGCATAAAAAAAGAGATGGAAAAAAAATTGTAGATCTTATTCCTGATATGTCTTTATAGAGAACACTTTCAAGTAACGATGATCGGGTAAAATTAATTAATTGTTTTGCATTTGTTTACAAACTTTTCCTGTCCATTATCTTGTATCGCGATCTAATTGTGTCCTCACCTTCCAAGAAAACTTAACAAGCGTTTTTTTTTTTTTGAGTTCAGAACACAGAAACCGGGTTATAATTATTTATCATAGGTGTTGATTTTCACATGTCAGATTTGGCAAATATCAACGCACATACGTACGTACGTATCTACCCAAGTACGTACGTACTTGGGTAGGTAGGTAGTTCATTGGTACTATGCACATGTATCTTTTAAGAATATTAGAATTGAATATATGTTACTCGCTTGGTTTCGACTCCAAAAATAGCCGAAGAAAATTTCTATAGGTACTTGTAAGCACATAAGTACGTTCGTACATACGTACGCACTTATTACGTATTTACATATACATGATACACAATGCATACACAATGCACATCCTGCATAAAACAACCGGGACTATATGATATTTGTGGCTGTGCCTTACTTAGCCACCGAAGTGGCTTGCATCAATCAGTCTTTTGACAAACTTTTTCCATCCTGCATACAAGTGAAATGTCTTGATTACAGATATGTTTATAAATTGTGATTGTCCCCATGATTAGTTTGGTTACCTTACCTCTGAACTCAAAAGAGAAGCATCTGTGGGAGTCTTTATTCTCCAGGTTTTGTTAAACGAAACTATCCTCTATTGGGTACAAATTAATAATCACTCGATGACTCATACAGACCTCTGTAATTTCGATTTGCGCACTAAGGTTTTCATTTTGAAATTCACGATGTAGAAATTTTCCCATGATATTTCAATTTGCATATTATTAATTAATCTTTCTTGTATTTACGATTTGTGTATAGTGCCTACATATACTTTATTAAACACAAGTTCATTATCGAAATATTTACTTTATTTACTTTATTTATATCGATATAATCTTATATCAAAGTTTGATCACTTCAAGAACATTAAAAAAATGGTTTAAAAAATGGATAAAAAAAAAATGGACACAAAAAATGTTTATTGACAAACGCGACGCGATGTTTCATATTCATTAATATCTACTCACTTGTGAGTTAACATAATAGATTATTGAATACAATTGTTTTTTCATGTTTCACCAAATATACGTACGTACGTATGATATACTTTCATAATGAATAGCAACACAGCAATTAATAAAGTAAACAATTAAACGCGTCTTGTCTACATTTTTTTGTTTATGATTTTCTCAATGTTTTGATTTTCGCTTATTTACATTATCTTTTACCAGTCAGGAAACAAAGAATCTAGATCCTTCGCTTTAATTAAATGTTGGTGGCTTTGTTTGCATATATTTCAGGCGTTTTACAATTCTGTTTATGTCAAAAAAATGCTTTATTTTGTGTTATTTTGTGTTATTGTACCCCTTAATTTATTAATTTTTGTCATCTGTCGAAACGATCCCCTACTTGTTTTCATCATTAATTTAAGTTTTCTTAATATTCGGTTTATATATTTATATATTCTCTTTTTTTTTAAATTTATGTAATTTATGTAATTTGTGTTAATTCGGTAATTTCTTATGTTTTTATTATACGTAACTGTATTATTATTAGTTGTTTTTGTTTCTGCATATATCATTACTTAATTCGGTTATACAATTATGATTACATTTATGATTTACGCATATTTATTAATAATGAGCTACGGTCAATTGCATATCTAGTACATAAACTTTATCACAAATACAGGGGTACTTACATACTATTATATTATTATACTTTACTTACATACATATTTTACATATTTAAGTTTCATACAATGATTTATACAATGATACCTAGTTTTTCAATCGGGCGTCCGTGTAATTCCGGAAATAACTATTTTAACCAACTGTTAGTCGTATTATCTACTAAATCTTTGCACAAAAAAATTAACTCGGAAAATATTATGAAATATTGGGAAATGTTGAGAAATGTTGAAAAATATTGTGGTATATTGAATAAAATTTCAACAATTAAAGAAGGAAAAAAACTTTAATAAAAAAATTTTTAATACGTAAAAAAAAAAATTTATAACAATAATAATTTTATTTGCACGCCACAAACATACACATACTTATACTTCAAAGTTAAATCATTATTGATATACGTTATATGACGGATAACTTTATATCGATCAATATCTTGTATCACACTCGCCATTAAAATTATGTTATGCATCGTACAAACATGCATCAATTCCCTACGTACTTTATGCATTTATATTGTACTCTTGTAAATATTCGTCTTCGTAAGTTCATCTGTAATGTACGCGCGAATTATCGTGCCACATAAGTAAACTGTATATTAATTGCTTTAGATCATGGATTACCCGTCTTGATTGGGTTATTTACCCAAGCTTATTCATTATTATTGGATAGTCGATTTAAAGTGTTTTAATCAAACAAGAAGCTGCACAGTTTTTTTTTTTTTTTTTCGTTTAAACATTCTAACTAAAATATCGCAAAAACTTATGGCATAATCTAAATCTTAAGTTTTTCCCATTCGCA